AATCGTTTTTACCCAAGCTACATGCATTTATGGATTTCGGTCAAAACTAATGAAATGTAGTCTACTCCAAAATGAAAGTTTAGGCACTGGTTTTGTACAAAAATGATGTCTCCATAATTAGTTATGATATTTACAAAAATGGTACAGAAATAGTGGATTTTTCAGAAAGATAAAACTAGGGTTATGGTTCAATCCACTTAACCCATTAGGTCCCAAATTCAATTAAAACCTTCCAAGTCTGTAAAAAATCAGTCCTAGGTCCTAAAGTACTTTTCGAATCAATGAGGAAGAAATCATATCTATGTTTTTTAGATTGAAAGCCCCATACAAGCCTTGCACCGAAAACGATTTTGACAACAACCCTAAAACTTCTTCCATGATCGACAATCTTTAACTCAAGATTCAGACACTGAAACCCAAATTACAACAGTGAAAACTTTTATATATGTCTTGGGAGGATTCACTCCAAATTTCACAATAATCCAACGGTTAATTCTCCGGATATCATCCAAACACTGATTCAAGGTCTTCAAAAACGGGAATTCCGAAAATTCTTCAACTTGGAGCCGTTTCCTTTTAAGGGGTATTTGGATAGGAAAAACAGGTGCTTATTGTTTATTCCCACAATAAGCTAATTTGAGTGTTTGGATAAAATCCAGCTTATTAAGCTAAATAAGCTAATTTTAATAAGCATCCCTCCCCATGCTTATTGCTTATTGCTTATTCCCACCACAAATAAGTTATAAGCAATAAGCTAAAAAGCTAATCCAAACACTCCCTTAAATGATCAAACTAGTGAGTGGGTAGGGTTAAGTTTTATATTAGTTTATGTTCCTCCATCTCTTACTTTGATCCCCATGCTTCAAAAAATTTACACTTAGGTCCTCCTTTTTAACTCCTTAGCAAACTTAACATTTTTTTATTAATGTTATATCTTTCTAACCCCTCATATATACCATGTACAACTTATATGAATCCTAAAAATCATATTATTACTTTCAACCCGAAAATAATAGCCCTTAACATTATAAATTTATTTCTCCTATAATTAACGATTTTAAAATATAAAACAAAAAAAATGGGGCGTTACATACAATTGGCTAGTAGCCTTCATTAGGTTAAGTTAGACCATCACAGGGTTTGTTACGAGTGGTAGGGCAACAACATTCATGGGATTGAGGTAGGTTGTAGGCCGATTTGGGGCGGATCGTAATGTAAGACTATGGCTGGGCCGATAGCATACACCTGAAATGAAATGGACTATCTTACATCCATGTAATGGTTTGTATGGCACCAATGTTTGAGACTCGTGTTGTGAGTCACCTTTGTTTTTGGGTACAAGGTTATCAACATTGGTGATTGTTCAAAGGTTTTGTTTCTCCGGTATCAGTAGGATAAATAAGGGTCAGAGAGGTTTGTTCAGTTCGGGTGAATGAGATCATTATAATTGTGATGGAATGGCTGCTTTTTTGGAAGTCAGACAAGGTATTGGATTTCCGGATTTCAGACAGAGTAGTGATGGTTATTCTTCATTAGTTAAGGTTAGTGAGCCAAGGATTCATTTCTTCATCAGGGTATATGATTTCTGCTAAGGCTGGGGTTTTGATTACAATATTGGAGGATAGTCTTTGGTATGATGCAACATCGCAACCCTAGTTGGATGCAAGGAAGTTCTATCTAGATCAGCTAGTATGGTAGAAGAAGTAGCAATGAATGATTTCGAGGATGAAAGCTCATTTAATTGGGGGAGAGTTGTAACATCCTGGTTCGGTTCATTCCTTAATTTGAGGTCGTGATCCTAAGTTCGATCACGAAAAGGGTTTTGGTTTTTGAGGAAAGGAAGTTTAGGCCATAGTGAAGATTAATATTGTTGGTGGTGAGGCCCAACCCCTTTGATTTGTGTGCTGGACCAAAGGGTAGAAAGGGAAAAGTTAGATCATGCTTCTTGCAAGTCTTTATGTTTTAGTTCGGTCGGTGGTAAGTGAAATTAACTAGATATGATTATGAGGATCTTTAATACCTTTATGTGCATATAAAGAACACTGAAAAAGGAGTTGGAACAAAGAAGTTATGACTATTTAAAATTAAGTTAGACTTGGAAGTTAGTTGTACGCGGGGCGTACATGATATGTATGTAGGGTGTACATCATTAAAAAATGGTGGGGACCCCTTCGAGTACGTTGGGCGTACTCACGTATATCTTAAACCCTAATTTTTAGGGTTTGGACCATATTTAAAGGACCTTAAGTCCTTGAGACCTCCCTTACCTTCAGCCTCCATTCCCTCATTTCGTCAGCTCGAAATCCTAGCCTCATTTGTGAGAAGTTAAGGCCTTAGTGTTGCTTTTGTGTGTTCTTGTGAAGAAGGAATCCATTGGAGAATACTTGGTGAGCTTGAAGCTTGAAGATCCAAAACCTTCATCACCTTTACAAGCTTCAAGAGGTATACAATTTGAACCTTTTTATTCTCTTGCTTAAATCTTTGTTAGCTTAGAAAGTTTCATGCTTTTGGTCCCATGACTTGGTTCTTGTAAGTAGAAGATACTCCAGAGCCTAGGTTTAGCATTTCTTGATGTTTTTGAGATTCTTGTATCATAAAAATCGGATTTTGATGGTTACATTTCAGCCATGCATGAATTGTTGGTCATTTTGTGAAGTTATGAAACTAGGGTTTGGTTTAGGGCTCTCCCTAGCCATACAAATTCATAAAGTCAGGAACTTTATGAATTTAGACGTTTCTTAAAGTCATATCTAAGATTTAAACATGAGGTCTTAAGGTATTAAGAACTTAAAAGGTCGATTTGACATCAACCGGATTACATAGGGTGTAGCCCAGCCGTATACAACGCGTAACGAGATATTTCCGTTTTCTTTTCTATGGATTCGTGGTATGTGGGGCGTAGTTATGGTGTACGCATGATGTTCTCCCAAGATTATAAATATATCATTTTGGGAGTTGGGACAAGTTGGGCGAGTTAGCCTTGGAAGGGTAAAATGATCTTTTACCTCCAGTGGAAGAGAATAAGAAATGGACTTTGATGGTGGGCTATTAGTCTAATCATTTATTAGGGTTGGTTTTGATATGTTTAGTGTGAGGATCTTTCGTACCAGCAATGTGTGTGTGACTTTTGGTTATCTTCATTTTGAGGGGAGTCTCATCACTGTAATTGGGGGTCGAAGGCACCAATGTCGGCCCACAGGATTATGTTATATAGAAATACCAGGCGGTGACACTTGTCAATTGCATGAAAGATCTGGATATGGCTCCTGACAATTTATATGCAAGAGCAGGGTCTAGACCTTGGCAGTTATATGTATAATGTCAACTGTATTTGTGATACTTGCATGGAAGATCAAGAGGTGGCTCTTGGTACTTGTCTATAAGACCTGATTTTTGGACCCCGACTAGGCAAAGAAAGACCATGATTTGGATCATGGCATAATGACAATTGTAAGACTATGGATGACACATAACAATCTCTATGGTATGTATGGTATGTGATATTTAAGGGAACCCACTAAGCTTCGTGCTTACGGTTTTACGTTTCTAGTTTCACGTACTCCCAGTTTTAATAGAAAGGGTTTGGCGTGATTGCACAACATCCCCGTAGAGTTTTCTACATTGGCTATTTGTGACTTATGCTCTGATGTTAATTTTAAATTAATATTTGTTGGTTTTTGAATTAATGTTTTTATGAATTTATGTTTTTAAAATAAAAAATTTTCTATGAATTTTTGGAACGTTACATCTACCATCAAGCATGAAGGCAAGAGTTTCGAGTTAAGATGATGGTTGCTGAAGAAAATGACCTAACCTTTGAGTTTATGCCTTTAAATACAGAAGAAACCCGAATCTTCATGGGCTTGGGCTGCAACACTCACCGCGTTGTGGTGACTGCCTTACCACAACGCCGTCACCAATCTGAAATGCTCCTCATTTAAGTGGCGTTACCATGCCGCGGTCCATAACATACCACACAGTGGCATAAGGTTTTTACAAAACGAGTGTTACACATATCGTAGGAAGTATATCTAAATCTAGTCTCCAAACCAAAAATTCACCTTTATGAGAACAAGTCTCTCCCACCTTGTAGATCTAGAAGCAAAAACCAACATGTGCTCATCAATGCATGTTCGAAAACCAAAATGAGCTCCTCCGAGTTAGACAACGAACAAACCCATTTATCTTTCATTGTCCCTAAAGACATTGTGGATAAGAGAGTCACCAAGCTAGCCATTTCTAGACCTTCTACACCACCGCTTTATTCAATTCAAGAGTGTAAAGACGGGGAAATCAAACGTGCAACGAGTCTTCAACTAACCAAGTGTCCATCCAAAACAAGCAATATAACCATTTCCCACCTTCAACTTACATAGATTCCATATTTGTTCCCAACATACATGATTTTTCCCACCAAATAACTGAACTTTAGTTTCATTGTCTTATAAATGTATTAATTCGGTCTTGGATGCATTCTTCTTCTTCTCTTAATATTTTCTGTAATTTTGCTCTTGAAGAACATATAACAAACAATAATGTATTTTGTGTTCCTAATCTAAGATTTCGTTTGAAATCCAAATTGTATTTTCTTGGATCGTCTCAAAACTAATTTCATGTAAACTCATGCAATATAATTGAAATAACATATTTTCGAAAGTCACACACAATATCTGAAATTATTTTTGTTTGTTTGTTTTTATTTATTTATTTTTATATTATGATCCTATTTTCTAACTATAATTATGTTTTTACAAGAATACAACATCATCAAGTTTGACTAATCATCTACCTACTTGAATTTATGTAAATTTTATGTTACATATTGTTTAATAATTAATAGAATGCTTAATAATAATGAGAAAATAAACAGAATACGATAACTTTTAGTTTTAAGTAATGATACAAGAAAGTAAAACGAGATTTAGAGTACTTACCAAATATTTCACATTTATTGGGATAAACATATTATATCGATCCATATTCCTTTTTCAAAAACAAAAATTGAAGTTCTAAACCTGTTGGTGGCTGACTTTCGAGATTATTTTTTCTAATTCATTCATGGGATTCCATTCTCAATGTGTGGCCCATATTCATAGCCCAATTGGTGATGTCACCATCAACACAAAATTGCGGGCAAATCGCCACAAATCGCCACTCTCACAAGAAACCGTCAGTAGCACCACCTTCTCTAAGTCTATTCTACCACCGGCCGCCGCCACTGTTTTACATCGTCAATGCCGGTAAGTTTTCTTTGATTTCACCTACTCATTAACATCAACACGTCCTTTAACAAAGAAACCAAGTCCTTTCCTTCTCACTTCATCACTTGTCAATTCCCTCCCACCATCTTTAATCTTCCGGCGAACATCAAACTCCGGGAAGTCTTTCAATTGAGAAGGAAATTAATTCCTTTGTTTGATTCAATTATCTTATAATAAGATTCTTGAATAATGTATATATATTGCTTCAACTTCTTTATCCAAGTTGCTGAAATTGTAATGGGTTTGATGTGTTCGATGAAAGTCCCAACAGAATACAAACCGATTAAGCAATGCTCCAAGAATCTATTTTTTATGATTTTCCAAATCTTTTAAATCAAGATCACCCTGTTACTGTTAGAAACTCGTAATCTTGTAATCTTTTTGATTAATGATAGCATGCGCTCTAAATATATACTATAAATTCAATCAATTATGCGTATATCTGATTGATTATATATACACATCCTTTCTTTTTGTGGTAGATAAAAGGTGGAAGAAATATGGAATGGTGTTCTCATTGTGGAAGGATTTGTAACACATCTCATGATTATCCCACCAACAATACGTGAGTAGTTTTACCAACATTCATTGACCTTTTTGACCATTTTACCCTTGTGATTCAACTGAATGAATCCCATGATTTTACATTTCAGATCGTGTCTTGATTGTGGGAAAATTTTATTTGAAGGTACATCGTCATATATCATGTATCCTTTTTTAAGAAATTCTTTTTATAATTATATCTTTTCGGTTACTTTCAATTTTTTTGTAATTTGTCTCACTTGTTTTATGCTACAGGGAATTTAACAACTAATGAATCGATATACAATAATAGGATTTCACACGCCACACGACATTATAAGGTTCATACTTTGAGGGCATTTTAGGCATAAAATTTTACTAAAATAGAAACATTATAAATTCTGATAATTTCAGGGAAGAGAGACAATTTGGTGTCCTCATTGTATAAGGAAAAATCATATAGCTCATGATCATATCAGTGGAATCATGTAAGTAATTCACCATAATAATTTATCCTTTTTTTTTTTTTTTTTTTTTTTCACTTTTTAATTTGAAACTATTTATTAGACATTGTGTTGATTGTGGGAAAGTATTGTTGGAAGATAAAAATGTCAAGAATGCTACATTAGGTGTAAGATTTCTAAAAATAGCCTCTTCACTTACTATTTGAATTTATTTAATTATTTTTCTAAAAATAATTTGTATACTTTGCTAACCAGAAAGACAAAAGACCGAAGCTTAAAAAGAAGGTTTGTCACTTGTCACAATTTTTTTTTTTTTTTTTACCATGTGATACTCTTTTTAAATTAATCTACAAACTAAAAAGATTTTCTGACATTACTATTTCTTTTGTATGTATTGCAGAGATCGAGTTCAAAAATGAATTATGATGTAATAAATACACTCGTAGGGGAAAAGGTAATCAAGTTGATATTGTAAAAAAATTTCTTCGTAATTAAAAGTAGTGTAACATAATTTCGTTTACTTGTTTATTATAGCATTGTTGTAATCACAAGCTCTTTTATTTATATATATATTATTCACTTTTTTTGCAGCCAATTCCGGTGAAGGAAGAAGATGAATGTAGCAAAAGTGATGGAAATGAATGGAAGAGTTATGATAATGAACAGGAGTCTTGCAGTTATGATTATGATTATAGTTATAATTATGATTACGATGGTGGTGATGAAAATAATGATTATTGATTACAAAAATGTGGAATTAAAGTTTTAAACATCGAGATGTGGTAAAAAAAAAAAAAAAAAAGTCATTTTGCGGCTTCTTTTTTTCGATGATTAATTTATTTGAACCTTGTCCAAGGCAAAGGTTGAATCACTAAGAAATTTTGAGACGTGGTTTTTTTTTTTTCTTGATTGTGGATGACATTTTGCGTGAATGTTAAATCATATATAAGATTGTTTTTTTATTTTTGTTATTATTATTTTTTTAAATAAGTAAAGTTATCGTCTACGGTGAAACACCATCTAACATTCCATGTTGTGGTTTTATGGTGGGGCAACACTAATAAGTTTTGTATTTATTTGATAAATATTATTTTTTCAATTTTTAGGATCAAAATAATTAGATATTACGAAACAACTAGTAAATTGTTGCATAAAGATTAATTTTGAAGATACTATCTAATTATTATTAATTTAAATTGTTTATATAAAATTATTATTTAAATGCATCAAGATTGATATTTAAAATTTGGCTCATTTTTTGAAATATTCCATAATTCATTGCATTTTGTTGTGGATTTAGTTCATATGATTTACTAATTTATCAAATTTGCAAGTTTTGTCAAATATTTATTCTTTTTAAGACCACTATTATTTTTTTTTATTTTTTTTTAATTTTTTTGCAATGTCAGAGGAACTAAATACATAATATAATGCAACATTAAGGATGACTTCAAAATGATTATATCGTTAAGACCAAAGATGTGATTTTAAGTAAAGCATATGTATAAAATTTGTAGTTTAACTTTTACTAAAAAAATATACATAGAAACACATTATGTATAACTAATAATGATTCCAAAATGCACATAGAAACACATTAATAATATATGTTTTTAGTCATTGTACTTTGGTCTAAAAAACATTTTATGCATCTAGCTTGCCATATTCAGCTAGAAGATTACTAAGAAATGTAAGAAGAGTCTTAACTATTTGATAGAATTCATCTAGTAGGTTGTAATTGGTAGGAGGTCAATCTTGTTGTAACGACCTCCTAATCAACAAAAAACTCATTTAATCTTGATCATTGATTTTTTTAGTCAACGACAAATATTGTCTTTCATACTTCTCATTAAGGGAAATGATTCGTAGACAACACTTTTTTACCGTACACAACAATTTATGCATTATAAAGTTGTACAGTACAACATTTTAAAACATCAATTGTTGTGTATGGAAAATAATTATTGTGTACAAATTATCTCCCATTAAGGGTATTTCTTATTTTATTCGTATGTGTGTGTGTATATATATATATATATATATATATATATATATATATATATATATATATATATATATATATATATATAAGGGGGGGGGGGGGGGGGAAGGGTCTTTTGGAAATTCAAACTTTTCCGAAAACCTAAGAACTAAAAGTGGAACGTTGAACTAAAAAAGAGATGACCAAAATGCATTGTGACATTTCTATAAAATAAGTAGAAAAATAAAGGGTCACTCGTACATTAATAAAATGACATAAGGGGTATTTTAAGGACTTAGAAAACGAACCTAGGGAATAACCGATCAGATCCCTTTTTTCATGTCACAATAGACATTTCCGATTTCCGACTATGGTACCTTCGGCAGACAATCTCTCTGTAAACCCGACATGACCACCGACGATCGATCTTCGCCTCACGTTCACTCACTGTCACCGAGGATCGATTCCGCCTCATCTCTAATGACCAATTTTACATAACCTCCTTATCTTCAATGATTGATTCGCGTCTTGACAGATTTACCATCTCTTGATCTCGATCTTGATCCCACTATCCTTCCTAATCTACTGCTTGCACAATGTAGATTGATGATCGACCATAATAACCATCGATTTCCACAACAATCACCACATATTTCAATCGAATGCACAAAATAGAGGTGGAAATCCTACTCCCACTGTCCAAACAGATCCCAATCGAATTCAAGACACAATAATTAAGTTGTATGTGTTAATCGAGAAATGGGGAAAAAGGCGGTGTTGATTGGATGCAACTACGTTAGAACCAAGACGGAGCTCAACAGATGAATCAACGATGTTAAGAAAATGTACCGTTTTCTAGTTGACCGTTATGGATTCTCCAAAAACGACATCAAATTACTTAGACCTTGTGGTATACATACCACGAAGCAATCCGTGGTCTAGCTGGCCACAAAAAAAATTTCGTGCACACCACCCCGACATTCCGTAGTCGGGCGTGGTCGTGCTATTCTGTGCTCCCGACGACGAAATCAAACGGAGAACATGATTGGCTGTGGGTTTATTTGGCCGTTGAACGACTATTTTGACCGTTTTTTTTTCAAACTCAATTCACTATATAAATAAACCTTCTATTTTCACCAAAACTTACACCTCATTATAATCTTCATTCTCTACAACCACAAAACACATATACATGGATTCCACAAAACATATTGAATTTCTAAAAACTTTTGACTCGGATGACGATGTAGAATTCGTCGACACATTCTTCAACATTGTGCAACACATTCACGATGAAGAAAGTTCGAATGCAGCTCGTACAAGGGCGGTCGTCAATCGTGATCACCAAGTCGCACACGACTTATTGGTACGTGATTATTTTGCTGATAATTGTCTTTATAATCACGACTCCTTCGAACGTCGTTTCCATTTGAATAAGGCTATATTTTTACGTATTAGTAATGCTTTAGAATCTCGTTATGATTTTTTCAAACAAAAACCCGACACTAGAGGAAGAATGGGTTTTAGTAGTATACAAAAATGTGCGGCTGCTCTTAGGTATTTGGGATACGGTATAGCATTCGATGCATTTGACGAATACTTGAAACTATCCGAGAGGACCACCGTTGAATGTGTAGATTGGTTTTCTGTATGTGTTTATGAGGTTTTTCACGAAGAATATTGTGCAAACCTACTCAACGTGATATTGAGAGATTATACTCGGCTCATGAAGAGAGGCATGGTTTTCCGGGTATGCTTGGCAGTCTAGATTGTACGCATGTGGCTTGGGAAAAATGTCCAACTACATGGCGTGGTCAGTTCACTCGAGGAGATATAGGTGAACCAACTATCATCCTAGAAGCTGTTGCATCTCAAGATGTGTGGATATGACATGCCTTTTTTGGAGTAGCGGGGTCTAACAACGATCTTAATGTTCTTGGCCAGTCTCCACTTTTCAACGATATTTGGATCGACAAAGCACTTGATATGACGTTCACGGTGAACGGGCACGCATATAAATACGGTTACTACCTTGGTGATGGGATATACCCGAACTATTCTACATTGATGAAGGCATACTCGGTTCCTCGAAGTGAAAAGACAAAGTTTTTTACAAAAAAACAGGAATCGGCGAGAAAGGATATCGAGAGGGCATTTGGAGTCCTTAAGCAGACATGGCATGTAGTGAAATATGCTACACGACTCTGGGATAAAGAAAGAAATAAACGAATGGTCCTAGCATGTATTATAATGCATAATATGATTATCGAAGATGAAGGTCGAGTGATTTGCACGTATGATCTGAACGACGTTGTCGTTCCAATTGAGGAGTTCGTACCGGGAACGAATGCGTTTTTAGAGCGAGTTGTTGAAATTCATAACAGTGAAACGTGTTTCAATATTCCAGAAGATGTCGCAGAACATTTGTACCAACATAACATGAACGACGATTAGGTTTTTTATATGTATGTTTCTTTGTTTTTTTAATTAATGTAATTTTTTTTTTCTAAATTAACTAAGTAATGTAGTTTGAAGTTGTAATTTTATTTTTATAATTAATGAAACACTAGTTTAAAAAAATGAATGGTTTTTAATTATAAAAAATGTAATTTTATTGTATTTTTGAATTAAAAATAAATAAAAATAATGATGTGGAGTGGTGTGATAGTGGTAGATATCCCATGTTAGTAATAGATGATTGTGGTGCTGATGTGGCACCCACCATGTGGAGTGATGTGATAGTGGTAGGTATCCCATGTTAGTAATAGATGATTGTGGTGCTGATGTGGCACCCACCACATATGTGGTATGTGGTGGGTATAACGGATGACCTTATCGACGGAGACAATTCCTATACCCATCCTACCGGCTGTAACATCCGCCAAGCACTCGATGAACTCGTCCACTCGGCGGAGCCTGGTGACTTCCTCATCGTTCATGATAGCGGACACGACACTCACCTTCCAGCTGAGACTGGTGACGACGATGACACCGGATATGATGAGTGTATCGTTTCCAGCGACTTCAACCTAATTAATAGAATGATACTTGCTTTGAGGAATTTACTTGTGGTTGATTAGAATTTGATTTTTGTTTTAGTGAATTATATCTCAAAATTAATGGATTTATGATTTTTTATGAGTGATTTAGCAGTTTGACTTCAAGTTCTACCAAATGGTTAAAAAAAATTTGCTGGTTATCTAATGACTTGTCTAAATCCTAGGCATTCAGATTAATCGTGCGTCAATCATCGATTCTCAAATGCTTATATGGATTAAAGTACTTAGAAACTAACTTTAACTTTTTCTAAATATGAAAGCATTACCATGAGTACGTTAGGAACTGATGAATCATGCCTAAAAATGTTTCTGTTCTGGATTACTTTCATATTTGCAACTACTAGATCTGCATGAATTCATTAACAAATATTCAAGTCTCTGATAGAGGTAATTCACTTGTGATAACCATATTCGTGTTGTATTCTTGCATGTGATTACAAATGGCGACTTCAGGGACCTTTTGGACAAAGTTCCACATGGTTATAGAATCACTATTATATCAGATTCATGTCACAGTGGTGGATTAATTTACTAGGATAAAGAACAGATTGGTGAGAGCTACAAAAAGGGTCTAGAAGAATATGAAGGAAGCGGATAAGATTTTAAACTAAGTAGCTTTTTACATAAAATCACAGAAGGTGCACTAGAATCCCGGGGTATTCACATCCCTTCTACATTTCGCCATAAGAATCTTGAGGAAGAAGAGGAAGTAGAAGAAGAAGTAACTTATGAAGGCAATGATGAAGTTAAGAGCAAATATTTTCATCTTTAAACCCTAATCAAAATACTCAAACAAAAAATCGGGAGAGATGATATAGATGTCGAGAAAGTGAGACCAACATTGTTTGATATATTTGGTGACGATTCCAGTCCAAAGTAGAAGAAGTTCATGAAAGTCCTCTTAGACAGGTTCCATTTAAGTGATGTATAAACACAGACTTACTTTTTTGTTGGGCTGAATGAACTATCTGAATAAGATAAGCAATTACTTTTAGACATGAAATGCATTTTTGTCACCAAGAAACGAAAAAATGGATATAAAACTGTGGTTGTTGTACAAATTCATTTTTTTTTAAAGATTTTCAAGTAAATCAAAAGTGAATCGCATATAAATTACATGTGATTCATATTTAATCACATGTAATTCACAAATGAATCACATGTGATTCGCGTGTCAATCACATGTAATTTACATATGCATCATGTGATTTATGTTAAATGGTATAATATTTTAATAATTAATTTGAAGCATGACTAAAAGTGTGTAGTGATTCACATATAAATCACAAGTGAAACACATATGAATTACATATGATTCAGTTATAAATGACATATGATTCACACGTAATTCACATGTAAATTACAAGTAAATCACATATGAATTACATGTGATTCGCATGTAATTCACATATGAATCACATGTGAATCATATCATGTAAATCATATTTAATTCACATATGAATCACATGTAATTCATATGTAAATCACCAGTGAATCACATATGAATTGCATGTGATTCAAATGTAAATCACAAGTGAATCACATATGAATTATGTCTATATGCACACACATATTTCGTGTGAGTGTTCTTCGTAAATTATTTTTTTAAAATTTTCTTGTGAATTTCACATTTGAATCTTAAAAGATACAATCACATGTGAATCTTACATAAGATAATCTCTTACATGATATATAAATATGCATTTTTGTGAATGTTCTTGCATTATCTTATAGATTTGAATAATTTTGTGAAAAATATTGAAGAGGTGAAAAGTGATAAATTGAAGAAAATATGAAAATTTTGAAAAGTAGACATGAAAATGTTTTGAAATTTTATAACAATTTTTGTTTTTTATATTTTATTTTGTATCGAATAAAATACTTGTACTATTATGTTTATAAATTAATAAATAAAAATGAGTTTTTTATGATTTACTTACAAATATTATAGTATAAGAAATATGAATATATGCACTTGAAAAAAAATATGCATATATTCATATAAAACATTGATTTTTTTTGGTTAAAATAATTATAGATTTTTTTGAATATTCCAGTTTTTTTTTTTTTTTTTTTTAATTTACTGATTTTTAAAAGTTTACTTTTTTTAAAAAAAAAAATTGTTGTTTTAAAAAGAAATAGTTTGTACAATTTTTTTAAAAAAAATCATGTTTTCTAACAAAAATAAAAAAATAAGCATTTTTTAAAAAAAGTTCAAAATTATGATTTTTATAAAAAAATTCCTAAAATTTGATTTATAATGTTAAATTTTAAACATTTTTATTAATATTTTCAATAACACAGAAAATTAAACATTAAATGATATTGGTAAGATGACGATATTCAACACCAGCCACATACCACCCTAACGCTCTAGCATACCAACAACAGCGGGATATGTAAGTATGGGTTGTCGGACACTTGAGGAACGAGAATGATTCTTAATAAACAATCTATTAGTGAATAAACAAATTCAAAAGGGGAGGATTCTGATTTTTTCAAGTTTAGAAAACTTAAGACATGTCTTAATGAATAAAAACTGACTAAGAATTGTAGAAAAACGATTATAGAAAATAATATCTAAAAAACCTTTCATGTAGGTTCGATTAGCTAATTCACTATGGTTGATGCATATGATAGTGCAATAGATTTAATTTCATTGGTTATCGATTTCTAATGTGACAAACAATAATGGTAATATTCCCTATCCTATGATTTAGTACATTTACCAGCTCAGTGATCAGGTTAACAAATAATTTGACAATCCAACTTTTAGTTCGAACTATACTAGACTTGAATTGTAAATTGTCATAAATGGTCATAACTTCAGTTCAATATGTAAATGGTCATTACACATGTTCTCACAAATTAAAGTTACCCAATTTTATATTTAACCCTAGGCTTATGGTCAAAGTCCTAGTCATATAAACCTAATGGTTATAGAGTTCATATGATTCAAGCAAGTCAAGATAGAATAGTCATCTCACCCTAAAAATGCTCAGCAATAAACAGAAAAGATTAAACTTTAAAACATAAGGATCTTTATCAAGCTAATACAATAAATAACCAACTAATTAAATCCATAATCGTAGAATCAAACCATAGTTTCAAAGGCTCTCTACCCTAAATGAAAGTTGAGGTTTTTAGAATATTATTATGGAAGAGAAAAAAATTAAAAGGAAGCAAACTATCATCTACATGATTGAAAACAAGCTAACGATGTTATTAATTGTAATTATGCTAAAGATCTCTTCCAATCTTGCTTCTCTAATGAATTCTAACTTCCAAGGCTTCCAATAAATTTCTTGAAAATGCATTCTTTTAACTGCAAAAATAGAACTTATACTAATAAGTAACATATATCTTAATATTGACCCGAATCATAGCTTAAATGTATTAAATGACGAGTAATGATCCTCAAAGGTCCTAGAATAACTTCTACTCACAAGACCAAGCCATGGGACCAAATCATGCCTAAAACTAGATCTATACTAAAGATCCATAAAGTTAATACCTCTCCAATGAACTCTTTCTTCTCCAAAATGAACCAAAACATACAAGAATCACTATAAAAGCTAAATGACCTCACAAGGTGGCTAGAGTTTTGAAATAATGATTTAAGGACAATGGAGGCTGATAATGAAGGAGGCCTTGAGGACTTAAGGTGTTTAAATAGGGTCCAAACCATAAAAACTAGTATTTAAAGTTTGGATGAGTATGCCCAATGTACCTAGCACGTACGCTCAACGTATGCAAGTAAACCCATGATTATTCTAATGACCTATGCCCGATGTACCAATCACATATGGCTAGCGTAGAGACCGATTTTATAAACTTTTTAATAAATCAAGCCAAATATAAAAATACTTGGAACACGGGCACCAATTAAGTAAAATAAATGCAAAACCTCTTTGATTTAATTCTAAATAACCTTTACATGAAATTTGGAAGGCTGTAATATTAAAATAGAAATTTAGTGCAATTAACAAATTTTCATTACATTATTATGGCTTAAGATATATATTTTAATTAATCTTACCAACAGTGTGTTAAATTATCACAATTTGTATAATAACTTAGAGCTTTATAGAATTGATCTTATATGAATAACACATAAAATATTGGATGCACATAATTAAATGTTTAATTATAGATTCAGAGGTTTTCGTACAATAGTCAGTCTATACATTAGATAATCATATTATTCATTTAACTGATTAAACACAAATTAAATATTTCAATCCTGTTGAATTAGTTCTTATAAGTAATTATATAAATAAAAAGACTTATTTAGTTGTAGTAGTTTAATTTTAAATAAAATTTTGTTAAAACTTGAAAGGTTGTCGTATTAAAAAAATTCAATGCAAAATTAACCAATTTTAATTAGATTATTGTGGTTGAGGGATTCTGCTAAAGACTAAAAGTAATGGGGATCGGAGCAATACCAAGTGAGTGTTATCATCTTAATACATGATCTCATCGGAAAGATCATCTTCAACATCATGTTTAGGATCCTTTTCACTTGTAAATGTTGGTGGATTATTTTCAATATTATCAGGAATTGGAGTCTCGATACTCATAGTCTTCTGCGAAGAGTTGTTGAATGGTTGAAGCTCCTGATCGGTCTCTTCATTTGATGGAAATGTGAAAGGAAGACGATTTCGGAGAGCTTGTTAACACATAGATATGAGCGTGTATTCAACTTGTTCTCTGGTGAGATCTGAATGTATTGTATGAGCCCTATCAACAAAATCTGACCAATCATTTTAAAAAATACCCGATCATCGCTTACTTAGAGCAGGTATCAGACTGGTTGTGGCTTTTGAAGTTGGAGGGCTACTCTTGCTTCGGAAAGCTTGGAATCAAAGGCAGTGGCCCCTGATTAAGCTTGTAAAGAAAGGAGAGGGATTTCCAAAATGACTCGTAAGTGTGTCCCAAAGGGCTTTAAGGGACTTTGTTCAATACATATACCATCCTTTTGAGAAGATGGGAGTATATGATGAGTAGACTCTCGTGTGTGT